CCGCGTAAACATAAAACCATGTCTGCATTTGTGATCAGAGAAATAACAAACAACAAGCGCTACTCTACACTGCTCAAAACTCACGTTTGAATCATCAGTGGCAAATCCTTTAAATGAAAACGTACTTACAGACTGTGAGTCAGAACAAACGGCATTGTTGTCTACTCTCCCAGGATCAGGAAACAGTCCTCCATTAAATGTGCAGCACACATCTGAATATTTGGGTTTAACTGTTCTGGAACATACAACTTAACCACTGATTTCTAGTCGTGTCCTTCCAAAAGAGCCGTCAGCTTGAGTGAGCGGAGGCCGGCAGCTGGAGTGAGCGGAGGCCGGCGGCTAAAGTGAGCGGACCGGCGGGCTTGCGGCACCGGACCGGACCGGCCGGCGGGCTTGCGGCAACCACATGTGACGACCCCGGGCTGGACTCCGCTTCGTCCACGGTGAAAGCCGATCCGGCAATCCACAGCGCGAAGTTGATGTATTTCCTCAGTGACCAGCACGGATCAGCTCTAGGCATGACAAAGCGAATATCGTCCTCTTTTGGAAGACCAAACAAAGTAGTTTCGCTTTCACAATGTCTTTTCGCAAACACAGTGTCTTCACGACATGGCGGCGGCAACAGCAATACTACAGCGAGAATCAAAGTTACGCCTTCTTTCTTTGCGTGAACATTTGGGCGGTGTTATGCAAATCTTCCCACATCGTGACATAGATATGTGGGGGCGTGTTAGAACGAGCCGTTTTAGGTAGGTGTGGTTGACTCTTAACTTTAATAAAGAATATCTCTTTGGATTTGAGACTTTAGTCTTTGCAACTTTACAGATCTTCTTTATGCACCAAGAGCTTGTAACACTCCAAAGAGAAAGGAAAAACTGAAATCGCATCATATGACCCCTTTAAACACATTTTGTGGAAAAAAATTAGGCCTATTAATTTAAATTCAGTAAAGTCTGTGTAGCCTGTATCTTATTTCCTGTCATTCCTGTCATTATATTTACATTATAACCATTGATTCATTTGGTAATCTAGCTTTAAAGGTGACTGAAATTTTGTTGGTAAACTGTAAAAACGTATATACACTTATATTTTTGACTTGGAAGTTCTCTATAATTCTCACCATGATTGTAACGCATGTGGGCACCCTTCTGACATTATATTATATTATATTATATTATATATTATATGAGAGGTTGGGTTCTTTCTGAGCGCAGCTGGGACTCTCGGGTGTTTTCTGGTTCTTTGCTGCCATCATGTGGACTTCATCCTTTTTCCTTCGTGTTGTTATTTCAACTGGGGCTAGGCTTCTGGGAATTTAACGCAGAAAACTGGATTTATGCTGCCAAACTACGAAAAAAAATACAATCAAAAGTATGCCGCATTGTGCGAGAAAACAGACCGAAATTTAAACTGTTAGTTACTTACTTTCGCCTCGTTTGTGTTTCTTCAACTAAAAATGGCACCAAATACTGAAAGTGACGCTAGGTAAATCAAACCTATTGATTCTCGCGTCACGTGAAAGATCGGCAAGTTTGAGAGTCGTACAAATCTTCATGTTTATGTTTATTCGCACACAAAATCTT